AAGATTCACCAGAGAAAGAGTGGGGAACAGAACAGGCAGACGATGAAGAGATTGAAGAACTTGTGCTGAAGTGGCTTTGGCTAGCTTCATAAAGCTTTAACCCACTGCGCTATCAGGGAGGGCCCACTTTTCTGGATTTTTGAATCACTTAGGCTGCTCTTTAAAATCCTCATGGCCTCACTGTATCCAGACAGGTTTGAATCAGCATCTCTATGTATAGTGTGTGGGAAGCATAATTTTTAAAATTTCCCTGGATGTTTCTGAATTGCAACCAAGTTTGAGAACCAGTGAATGACTGTGGTTTAGAAAAAGGAGAATGAGACCAAACAGCCCCAAGTTCTATTTGCTGGAGACCTGGAGTCTAACTGTACTATTCTCTCTAGTGTAAGTGTGAAATTTTCTGTAATAAAAAAAAAAAATGACCCTCACTGGTGGCACAGAATGGTTAAAGCACAGCAGTAAGAAGTAAAAGCCACTTCAGTATTCCTTAGATCCCAGCCCCGGAGGTGATCCACAAGCATGGCAGACCTCTCCGGACCCCGCCTGCTGCTCCCCTCAGCAGTCTACTTCTCAGTGGGCCTGTCCTGCGCCTCACTCTGTCTCTGGTGAATCCTCTCACTGCCCCTGCACCTCTGGCCTGTACCCCAGTTCTGTATACAGACATAAATATTAAAATGTTGAGCCACTTTGTAAACAAAAGTGGTTCAGAAGAGAGAATGGAGGATCATAGTGGAGGTCAGAGTACAGTAAATTCTGACCACATGCAAACTGAAACAAATATAGCAAAGAACTGAGCACTTGGTTTGTGTGATTTTAAGTTGGAGTAAAGACATTCTATAAAGACCAATTTTTAAAAAGAGGTGTCAACAAAGGTATAAAAAAAATTGAAAACCATCCATGAAAGTGATTTAGAGAAACTCCATAAATAATTGTCCAGCTACTTTTACATCAAAACTACTTTTACGTCAAAGTACTCAGCCTTCTCACTGAATTTGCTGAACTGTGAAAGTAAGGGTCAGAACTGCAGGAGGAGGGAAAGCACACATTACTCTTTGGATCTCTGACACAGCAGTGTGATCATGCTCTTAATGAACTGAAAGCACAGACTATGAAATGCCTCTTTTTTTAAAAAGATTTATGCATACAGAACTGGGATACAAACTCAAGGTGAGGGGCAGCAAGAGGATTCACCAGAGACAGAATGGGGAGCAGAATAGGCAGACAGACAAAGTACACTGCAGCGGGCAAAGCAGGAGAGGTTTGCTGCACCCTGTGGACCACCTCTGGGACAGAGGCCTGAACTCCCATGGAGGCCGCTGCAGCTAGCTTGCAGTGCTGTGCTTTAGCCCACTATACCACCAGGGAGGGCCCTCTCTTTGTTACATAGCTAGCCAATTCATTATAGCTTGAACACTCTAACCAATCTCAAACTTAGACTTGAACAATGCCCTGCTCCTGAAATGAGTAAATCAAGCTGCCAAGGGTCATGCGAAGAAGCACACCAATTTTGCAAGGGAGTCCAGCAAAAGGACAAGTCTTCTGTTACTACCCTCCTGGAAGTATTGTGTAAAAGTTAAAGTGGGATGGGAGGTGACTGAAACCAAGGTAAACTGAAGTCAGTGAACATATGTGATATTTTCAAATAAGTAATGCTGCCCAAAGAAAAACCTATGTGAAGAAGCAGAGCACCTGAGAAAAACACACATTTCCAAAAGGTAGTGGTCAAAGAGGAACTAAGAAGAGACAACAAAAGCAACAGAAAAGGACCCACGAGATTACATCACAAAATACACAAAGGGCCTCTGTACTTAATTAAGAAGGTGATGCTGTGGTTATTTTATCCCTTTTTAGAAAGATTTATTTATTTATACAGAACTGGAGTGAAGGCCAGAGGTACAGGGGTGGTGAGAGGCAGATCAACAAAATACACTGCTGAGGGGAGCAGTGGTGGGGGGGTCAAAAGAAGTCTGCTGTGCCATGTGGATCAAACTCATGCTGACACAGCTGAGGCTAGCTTCCTTGTAACCCATTGCGCCACCAGGGAGGGCCTATTTTATCCTTTTAATGAAAGTAAAGCTAGATCTATAAAGATTTCCATAAAACTCTGATTTTTGTTTGTTTTGTGTTTCATTTATTTGTGTGTCCCAGAACCTGAGGTCCTTCTTTTTTTTTTTTTACTTTAACATTTTAAAAAGGAAAAGAGACACACCTGCCTTATCACAGGCAGTCAGGGAAGAGAGCTGCTGAGCTGGGGCTCTTAGACATGGCACTGATACATGGGCTATTAAAGAAAAAACTGATAAATTTGATTTCATCAAAATGAAGAACTTGTGCTTTGCCAAACACTCTGCTGGAATGAAATGGGCAGAGAAGGTCACCAAGGGCAACAAGGCAGGAGGCCAGATGGAAGGATGGAACAGCCACTCCTGCTCTCACTCTGAGACCTAGAGCCACCAAAAAGCCCCAAAAGGCAAAAGGCCAAAAATGAAAACCAAGGGCGGTAGTAATACAACACCCACACAATACTCTGGGCTACAGCCTAGCAAAGGACCGTGCCTCATAAGAGGACAGGTCACTGTCTATGGGTTCTCACCCCCACTCACAAATGCAAGAGATTCAGGCCCCAGAGACAACCATGGGGTTTGTTTTACAAACAGGGGAAACAAAAAGCTTACTCGATCTGCAACTGGCGGCTATCTCACCCATATAGTATCAGTAGTGGTCACCAGGAGTGCTGGGCAGCACTGGCCAGGAGTGAGGGCCACTACTGGTCCCTCAGAGGCCGTGTCACGGACTCCTGGTATTAATAATTCTTTGTGAGTTGTTGGGTTATACCAATAAAAGCTCTTTGAGACACCAGACCCCGGGCCTTTTGTGTCTCTTTCAGGCGACGTTAGAGACAGGACTGAGGCCTAGTAAGTGAGAGTTTTTTGGCTTCTCTTCACTCCTCAGATGACAGCTGCTGGGTGCTTCCTTTCTTCTTCTTTCAGAGGCTGGAACCATCTTCTTTTCTTGAGGAGCTGGTGTGTCTACTTAGGCTGGCTCCTGAATTGGTGTTGTCACTCTCCTCCAGGGACTGGTGTCACCTTCCTCAGGCTGAAGTCGTCTTCTATTTTGTTTCAGCCAACCTTGGCTTATATCCTCTTTCAGGAGGATTTGTGCCACAAATCTGACTGGACCATTTTGCAATCCTGCAGCTGATTGGACCATTTAGCAAACAGCTAAAAGCACCTGATTGGTCTCTTCTACAACCCAGGAAGTGTGCCTTGATATAAAAGGGCTCTGAGGAGCAACCACCACGATTGATTTGTGGTCAGAGGCTGGGCCCTGGTAACAAAAGTCTGATTGGGCCTTTAGCACCAATCAGCTTGTAGCTCATAGCTGACTGGTCCATTCTGAGATCCAGGAAGTACACTGCTACATAACGGGTCTTTGTCACAACTGACAAAAAGGCAGTTACTGAGCTCTGAGAAGCAACTGCCACAACTGACTTGTGGTAGAGGAGCAGTTTGAAAGAACTATGTACATATGTTAAAATCCATAG